CGGGGGTGTAGAAGTGCCCCGCACCACCCCCCTCCAGCCCTCATCCCGACCGCACCGCCGCCCTCGCGGGCGTAAACCCCGTGAACGGCCGTTCACGGGATTTAGGCCTGGTGACTTGCCGGTCACGGGTTGGTGACCGGTACCGGTCACGTTCATGGGGCAGGCACTGAGCCAAACTCAGAAAATTACTGAGAAAAGACCCTTGTTGGCCTTTTTCTCCAATTAGGGTTGCAGTTTCTTGGTCTAGGCCCTAGAAACAACATTTTGAAAAGGGGATAGAGGCCTTGGGAGGCCAAGGGGCAATCCGAGTTGGTACCACCACTCGGACTGCATGTATCTGACCAGAAAGAAGCCCAGGTACATCCGAAGAGGCCTGGAGGTGAAAATTGGCCTTGGGGGTACCTCGGTTCACCTTGGGGCACTTGGGAGGGCCCAAGGGCTGGGCGGACTGCTGTTCCCAGCCTATATAAGTTGGGGATTCAGTCCGTCACATTCACACTTGCATGTGGAGTGCCCATGCTTCCCAAATGAGCCCGTGAGAGCTCTAGAGGCAATTGGAGAGTAGTGAGGAGAACCCCTCCCAATACGGAAGCTTGGAAGTGACTGTGAGTTAGTAGGAGGACGCTCTACAAGCTAGTGGTAGTGAGGGAGGTAGTCCGCCATAGCTCCCAGGCTAGTGGAGGAGAAGGCAAGACTGAGAGGAGTCTCATTAACCCTCCCAGAGGGGAGGACTCCCTAGTCTCAGTGATAAGAGTCCGTGGGTACTCGAAGGAGGTGAGAGAAGGAGGGATGAAAGGCTTGGAGAGGGAGGCAGCCATAGCCAAGGAAAGGGGAGTTTCATCAAGAAGGAGGCATCCAAGGGGGTGAGTGGAAAAGTGTCTTCCTTCTTCTTCTTCTTCTTCTTCTTCTTCTTCTTCTCCTCCTTTTTCTTCTTCTTTTTCCTCTTTTCCCTCCTCTTCTTCTTCTTCTCCTTCCCCTTCATCTTCCTCCTCCTCTCCCCGTCCTATCTCCTCTTCTTCCTACTCCTTCCCCTTGTGTTGTTGAGCTAAAAACCTTGTCTTTTTCTCTCCTAATCCCTCTTTCCTACTCATCTCTCCACTTGGTTGCAAATCGCAACTCATATCTTGATGATGTGTAGTGTTTGAGTTTTGATTCATGCTTGTTTTGTCCATTCTAGCCTCTCCTTGTGAATCGCAATACTTCCCCTTGTGTTGTTGAGCTAAAACTTGGTCTTTTCTCTCCTAATCTCTCTCTCCTACTCATCTCTCCACTTGGTTGCAAATCGCAACTCATATCTTGATGGGGTGTAGTGTTTGAGTGTTGATTCATGCTTGTTTTCTCCATTCTAGCCTCTCCTTGTGAATCGCAATACTTCTCCTTGTGTTGTTGACCTAAAACTTGGTCTTTTTCTCTCATAATCTCTCTCTCCTACTCATCTCTCCACTTCGTTGCAAATCGCAACTCATATTTTGCTGATATGTAGTGTTTGAGTGTTGATTCATGATTTGTTTGTCCATTTTAGCCTCTCCTTGTAAATCGCTATACTTCCTCTTGTGTTGTAAAGCTAAAACTTGGTCTCTTTCTCTCATAATTTCTCTCTCCTACTCATCTCTGCACTTGGTTGCAAATCGTAACTCATATCTTGAAGATGTATATTGTTTGAGTGTTGATTCATGCTTATTTTGTCCATTATAGCCTCACCTTGTGAATTACAATACTTCCCCTTGTGTTGTTGAGCTTAAACTGTTTTTTTCTCTCCTAATCTCTCCATCCTACTCATCTCTCCACTTTGTCGCAAATCTGAACTCATATCTTGCTGATGTGTAGTATTTGAGTGTTGATTCATGCTTGTTTTGTCCATTCTAACATGTCCTTGTGAATCGCAATACTTCCCCTTGTGTTTTTGAGCTAAAACTTGGTCTTTTTCTCTCATAATTTCTCTCTCCTACTCATCTCTGCACTTGGTTGCAAATCGTAACTCATATCTTGAAGATGTATATTGTTTGAGTGTTGATTCATGCTTATTTTGTCCATTATAGCCTCACCTTGTGAATTACAATACTTCCCCTTGTGTTGTTGAGCTAAAAACCTTGTCTTTTTCTCTCCTAATCTCTCTCTCCTACTCATCTCTCCACTTGGTTGCAAATCGCAACTCATATCTTGATGATGTGTAGTGTTTGAGTGTTGATTCATGCTTGTTTTGTCCATTCTAGCCTCTCCTTGTGAATCGCAATACTTCTCCTTGTGTTGTTGACCTAAAACTTGGTCTTTTTCTCTCATAATCTCTCTCTCCTACTCATCTCTCCACTTGGTTACAAATTGCAACTCATATCTTGATGGGGTGTAGTGTTTGAGTGTTGATTCATGCTTGTTTTTTCCATTCTAGCCTCTTCTTGTGAATCGCAATACTTCTCCTTGTGTTGTTGAGCTAAAACTTGGTCTTTTTCTCTCATAATCTCTCTCTCCTACTCATCTCTCCACTTGATTGCAAATCGTAACTCATATCTTGCTGATATGTAGTGTTTGAGTGTTGATTCATGCTTGTTTTTTTCATTTTAGCCTCTCGTTTTGAATCGCAATACTTCCCTTTGTGTTGTTGAATTAAAACTTAGACAGGAGGGTCGCTGAGATTCTCTGGGTTGAGAGTCACAGGGTTGAGAGCCGCAGGGGGAAAGAACCAGCGACGGAAGGACATGGAAGCATAGGGGCGTAGCATGAGGCCAGGAGGGCCGCTGGGATTCGGCATGACTAAGGCCGATGGGCCGTCAACTTGCAAAATGCGGCGCAACGGACAACGAGAGATTAAGGCAACTGGGAGGTGAACGGCCCTCGTAACTGTGGGACGCTAGAAAAGAAGGGGGTCAACATGAGGGTCGCCCATGACAATCAGCGGGAGCCTCGGATTGGAGGCTCCGCGGTCAGAGAAAGCCGGCGCGTGCGAGGCCCGAAAAAAAACAAGAGAAAGGGGTCGTCGTGAGGAGGCGGACGTCCGAAGAACGTGTGACACCTTGGGGCACAAGTGGTTAACGGGGAGCCCCACTTTTCGGCCCTGGGTAACGATGAATGATCTTGAAATTACGGTTGAAGTTTGCTTGGGATTGCCTTATGGTTTTCTTATAAATTGAGGTGAAAAATTGGGGGTCGGTTAACCTTTTCTCCCTTGGGGGAAAGGCACCAGGGTCCACGTGAGACTAAGTAAAAATAATGGTATCTAGGACAAAGTATGTCGGGGATCACCGGCGGGACCAAATATCGGGGATCATCGACGAGACAAGATGCCGGGGACCACCGGTGGGATAAGTGTCGGGGACCAGCATGGGACAAATGGCGGAACATGAGAATGCCCCAGCCAAGAACTATGAAGCGGCATGAGGGAAAATAATTAATGCGAGAAGCACCTTCAAGATCGAGATCTTGACGGCCGAGAATATTGGAACCACGAGCACAAGCGTTAGTGGGAGCAGACGGGGAGGCCAAAAAAAAAAGAAAGAGTAAAGAAACATGTAGAGGGAGGCATGAGAGCAATCCGAAAAATCTTGGATTGATACAGCATAATCAATACCTTACCCTTCCCGAACCACATAAACAAACGAACTACGGGCTGCGCACCCGTGCCCTCACGGTAAGTTAATCGTGGCTGATTTTCCCTTAGCCCAGGCATCCCCATGTAGTCCGTTATCTCTCGGACTGCAATTATGGTCATTTTTCTAGTCCCACAGCCCCTCAACTTGCCCCTTACTAAAGGAAAATGAAGCGTTTAACTCCCAAGTGCATTCGGGCTCAATATCGACTCCGGATGCACCTAAAATATGTGTTTTCCCTTCCCTATGTAGTTTGTTGCAACTCGGACTGTAATAGGGGTCAATTCCCTAGCTTCAATGCCCCACAATTAGCCCTCAACCAAAGAAAAAGAAAACGACCAACTCCCAAGTGCATCCGGGCTCAATTTTGGCTCCGGATGCACTTAAAACAGGTGTTTCTCCTCCCCCAC